CTCCATTGTGTAAATGTACCAAAGTTTCTTTAACCACCCAAAAGGAGAGAGAGAACAGAGGGGAATGCCCTGCCACAGAGGCAGGGTGGGATGATGGGGGTGATGGGGGGCGGGGCTGGGAGGGATACTGGGATCCGTGGTGGTGGGAAATGGGCACTGGTGGAGGGATGGGTATTTGATCACTGTATAATTGAAACCTAAGCACAAAAATTTGTAAGTCTACAACTGTACCTCATGGTGTTTCACTAATAAAAAAAATTAATTAATTAAAAAAAATTGCTTAAAGGATGTGGGAAATTGGCCACAGAAATAAATACCAGTGGAAGCAAGGTTCAGTCTGGCGGGAGTCAAACGTACTGACTGCTCAGGTCAGCTCAATGGCGGTGCGGGGGGCTCTTGAATGGTGCCATCATGGAGAAAGGGGTGGGTACACCTGAGCGTACCCCAGGGGCAACGTGCTCACAAAGGCGCATGAGGCTGAGTTCCCAGCCCCAAGATGCTTCTGTCACACCCCCCCCCCCCAGGACCTGTTAATCTGGCCTACATACCAAGACGGCAGGGTGACTTCAGCAGGAAAGGAAAAGAAGGGCACACCACCCAAATTTCCCCTGGAAAGCTCACTAACAGGCTGCAAAGTTAGAAGAAAAAGACAAGCAAACCTGCAGGGTTAAGCGCTGACACAGGCTGAAGGGAGGACGGGGCAGTGACCCCCGACCCCTTCCTTCCGCCAGGCCCTCGGCAAAGCGCCGAGCAGGCACCCTCTGCTTTCTGTCTCCTGGACTAGTCTCAAAATCTCCACCTCGTCTCCCTGCTGGGAACCGGCCAATTCCGGGCCCAGGCTCTGGAAGCTTCGGGAAATCTAGATAAATGACATGATTGAGACATTTCCCACCCCCGCCTGGAGTGAGAGCTGAAGAGACATGTGTCCTTCAGACCCCAGCTGGGCGCATTGCATGGTTTTTGCAAGAGCCGTTTTCCTTGACATCGGGTCCGGGTGCGTAATAGAGCTCTCATCTCACCTTTAAGCGTACTGCTTGGCTAAGTGCAGCCTGTTTGCGGCCAACTTTGGGAATGCAACCGCTAAAAGCTTGTCGCCCCGTGAAGGGTTCAGGAACCAAATAAACCAGCACTTCCGGCACGCCACTAGGGATCATCGGAAGTTTGACTGCAATGAACGTCTCCAAGTGATGCTCTTAGCTGGAGGGAGACCCTGGAACTCCGAATAAGCAAATGCTGGTCCTGACCATCCAAACGAGGTCCCCGCACTCCCACTTTGGCCGTGTTCTGAGAAGAAAAGGACGTTGAGCAAAGGCCTCGCCTGCCCTCTGAAAGAACCACATTCTGGAAAGGAGGAAGCATTTTGAATGCCGAGGAGCTCCAACGGACTCCCAACTCTCTGAGAAGCGCAGAGCCAAGGCCAAACACCTGACCTGGCTGTTTGCCTCCTTGCTCCCAGCCCCGCAGAGGCACAAACGAAGGGAACAAGCCAAGCAACTGTCCTCTGATACTCTGTAGCTCTGCCTTGACCGCAAGTTCACAATGTAACACAATGTAACAGATGTGAATAGTCTCTAATATTCACCCGTAACAAATCTGAACGAGAGGAAATGGGTTTGAGGCACTGACTCATTTTCCTCTTCTTTTTTCTTGGGGATGGGGTGGGTGGGGAGTTACACCCAGTGGTGCTCTGGGGATTGAACCTGGGGTTGCCCTCTGCAAGGCATGCTGAGCCCCTCCTCAGACCCCCATTTTCTAAGGAGACCTCGGATAAAGTATGCCGTGTGTTACTGTTTGTTCACTGATCACACTTCAGGTTTCCACCAGACCAAAATGAAAAACCGAGCTCAGGCCTCCAACACGGACGGTGGACAGGCCCCCTGCTGCGCTATAAAAGCATAAACATCGTGGAATAGTGTTTCAAAACAGAACGAAAGGCGGAAGAAAATTTTACAATATAATCTGTACAATCTGTTATTATTATTATTATTATTATTATTAGTTGTTCTGGCTGTGCCCAGGGCTTACTCTGGCAGTGCTCGGGGAACCACATGGAGTGCCGGGGATCGAAACCAGGTCGGCCACATGCAAAGCAAATGCCCTACCAGCTCTCCACAACCCCCACCTCCCCCCCCATCTGTTACTTTAAAAAAGAAACAAAGCTTCATTAGGGCGTTCGCCTTACAAGCGGCCAACATGGCCGACCCGAGTTCGATTCCTCCGCCCCTCTCGGAGAGCCCGGCAAGCTACCGAGAGATTCGATATGCCAAACACAGTAACAACATCAATAGTTAAGACATCAAATTCTGTTGCCACTGGCACTACCAATTGCAGGCTTTGGGGGTGACCCTGTAGGGGGCGAATCTTCAGAGACTCAGACAGACCATTTCTTGGTTTTTGTTTATAACAAAATAGTAGCATTGGCTACTATAAAAAATGAGTTTATCCCCCAAAAGCTCCTCAAGAGACTACCTTTGGTTCTAGTCTGATGAGCACTGAGGAAGGGACTTTCAATCCATGTACTACTTTGTGCTCAAATCACTGGTGTGTGTGCTCCACGTGGGGGCCAGGGCTGGCTCCCCGCTCTGCCTGGTGGGTCCCCTACGCACCACTGGGATGACCCAGAGAGAAAACGAATTTTTTTCCTCCGACAAAAAAGGTTATCTGAAACAACTGGATAGAGTTGTTGGCCTTCGTCTGCTCTGATGGCTCCTTTCAGCACAATCAAAGGGGAAAGGGAGTTTGTCAGTTCCTGCTCACTGGTTAGCACGTCCTGTGGGACTCAGACGTGACCAGAACTCTCCCCTCTCACTTGGAGATTTCAAATTCTCCTTTCCCATTTTGGCTATTTAAAACTGACAAATCGATTTATAAACGCAGGCCACCAAAAACGCGGAGAGATAGATACAGCGGACCTGGCAATTTGAAATAGGTTACTGGCAGTAACAAGATTAAAAGCTGGAAATGTTTTTGAAAATTAATGAAAAACTGACACAGTAAAAAAAAAAAAAAGGAAAGTTACACATGAAAACCTCATTAATATTCAGTTACCAAGAATTCTTTTTCTGTAACAATAATTAACTATTCACACAACACAAAGGATGGGTTTGAAAGTATGTATCTCATTTATATTAAGTGCAATTATCTAAAGCCCTAAGAACTTGGTTGATTTAAAGAGAGATTTTCACAGAGACGGTGACATTCAGACACGGGCGACCAGTTTCTAGGCAAAGATGCTGTCAGGTTTCTGGGACTGTTTCATTCGAGCTATTGCCCTGACTCAGTTTGCTATTTTTTTTTTTCAACTTATAGTGGAATTCAAACAACTTTTGAATCTCAAAATTCTTCTCAATTGCATAATTTAAAAATTGGAATTTAAAAAAAACATAAGGGGCCAGAGTGATAGTACGGTGGGTAACGCGCTTCTGTTGCATGCGGCCTCTCCAGGTTTGATCCTTGGCCCCCCCTGCCCTGTCCAGACTGTCTTAAGTCTGATGTTTCTGCAGTCCCAGCTTGGAGTCACTCAGGAGCTACCAGAAACGGGTCATTTCCGGGACTCTAGGTCCCTTCAGCTGATTCCTTTAAGTCCACTGTTTATGACACCCCATGCTTTTCCAAAGCTCTCTTGAGCTTCGTAGGCCAAGCTGTGATTCGGAAAGTGATTTCCCAGGAATGCAGGGAGAGGTGGGAGAACTTTCAGAGCCCTGGAGGGAAGGGAGGGATCTGGGTTCAGGAAGGGCTGATTTCTTTTTTTTTTTTAATTTAAAAAATTTTATTTTTTGCGTTTTGGGCCACACCCCGCAATACCTAGGGGTTATACCTGGCTTTGCACTCAGGAATTACCCCTGGGAGTGCTTGCGGGACCATATGGGATGCTGGGGATCGAACTCGGGTCGACCACGCGAACCCGGGTCGGTCACGTGCAAGGCAAATGCCCTCCCCCCGCTCTGGCCCCGGAAGTGCTGATTTCTAAAGCATGCTTCATTGTCATCAAATGAAGCAAAATTCTTAAGAAAACATTTTGTAGGGGAAAAAATGACCCATTAATAAAAGCATGCAATTTTTTTTAACAGACGAAAGAAGAAGAAATTGTGTAATACTTTTTTTTTTAATTTTCTGAAGTAGGGGTTGGCAACACCCGACTGTACTGGGGGCTCACTCCTGGCTCCGAGCTCAGGAATTATTCCTGGTAGGACTTGGGGGGACCCATTACGGAGTGCTGGGGAATAAAGCCGGGTCAGCTGTGTTCAACGTAAGCACCTGGCTGGCTGTACTGTCTCTCTGGCCCCTGATGTTCTTTTAAAGGGCCACCCTGAAGGAAAAGCTCTCTTGAAACGGAAAATCCCTCTTTAAATATAATGCACATTATCGTTCTGTTACAAGCAAATATAAACACGCAAGCATTTGGTCCTAGAACATTCTTCTATAAAAAAAACTTCCATTTGACAAAACAATTTGAACATTCTGATAAGTATGAAATTGGCTTTGTATTAAAAAAAATCCCACTCACTGGAAGAAATTTCATGTGCAAGAACATACCAAAGTCAAAGGCAGTCTCACCCGGGGAGGGGTGAGACTCCCTTTCATGGGGAATGTCATGAAATCATGGTGTGCGAGGCCTCCCTTGGCACTTCTGCACGTTCTCCAAAGGTGCCCTGCGTGAAGCGGGGGGGCCACCGGGACATCAAACTTATGACATGAAGTCAGGGGGTTGGAGCCGTGACCCTCTGGGGCCCTGGCACGGCTCTCCCTACCCCTTCTGGGGAAGCTTCCAGATCTGGTCAGCTCCAAGCTAGGGACTCTCCTTGAGTAAGATGAAAGAGGAGAGACCCCGCATCTGTGCTCCCTTAGTCCACCTGCGGGCGTCATTGCCCAACTGCCCCTTGCGGGTGTTCGGGCTACGCGCCTGGACTGAGTGAGATCTGAGAGGCCCGAGAAACCACACTGCACTTTAACGTTCAGCTCAGTAGCAAAGGAAAAGAAGAAAATTCTACAAACCCCACCTGATGGTCCAAATATATGGTGTTCCTTTGGAGATGATGTGAAAGAATTTCATTCTAGCAGGCGTGAGTCAAGAAACAAGAAGGGGGAGGGGGGAAAGAGGGGGGCAGAATTCAAGGACAAGGTCAGTTTCAGGGTCGGGAAAACCAGGTCGCTCACCACAACCCCCGACACCACAGGGCCCGGCAACTTGCACGCCCATGCGCCCCCCGGAAAACGGTGCAGAGACAACGCTGCTGACCACCTCTACGTGGGCCTCAGAAACACACATGCACGTAGGCTGGGAGGGGGAGCGGAGGCCTCCTTCCAATGGCCTCGGCAGACTCCGCGAGTGCAAAGTCACTTCCCTCTGCTGTTCCTACCACATGACGCTCTTCGACTACCAGAGGCCAGCAAACCCTTAGAGAAACGTTTATGTGTGCGCATCCCTTTTGCGGAGAATAAAAGGAAGTATCTTAGAAGCAGGAATGCACAGACGGTTAAAAAAAATAAAAACAAAAAAAACAACAAAACTCTCCAAAGCCCTGAGCAATACAAAAGGCGGGATTGTGCAAGCAATGAAGGGCGCCCCTGTGACTTCCCGGCCTCTGTCATCTCTGGACGGACCTGGCGGCTCCCGCGACGGGTGGGGAAACTGCCCTCCCCTGCCCCAAGCCCACGGGCACGTCTCCCTCTCACGATGCAGGCGGGCGCCAAGGAGAGAAACGTGCTCTGCCCACGTCTCCTGTCTCCCCGGGTTCCCCACGGGCTCATGCTCGGGACAGCGAGCGGGGGCGGCGGGCGACGCAGCGGGACGTCCGGGCGGCTGACCTTGGGGCTGTGCGCCTCCAGCTTGAGCTGCATGAGCTGGGCGAGGGTGTGCTCCCGGACAGTGCTCAGCTCCGCCTGCTGCCGTCGCAGCTGGATGAGCAGCAGCGTGAGCTCCTCGGGCTGGGGGGAGGGCAAGGCAAGAAGCCACACAGGGGCGAACAGATTAGACGTTTGGGCGTCCCGGGTCGGGGGACGGACCCAGACCCAGGTGCCTTGGCACCCCACAGGGCCCCGGGACACCCGAGGGGCAGCATTACTTGCAGGACAACAGCGGAGGGCTCGTGATTCCTAAACGTGAGGTACCAGGTGAGAGCGCGGTGGTCAGAGAGGAACTCAGGTGGCTCAAGGGTATGTGGCAGATGCCCCCGTGTCACTCCGGAGCTGCCCCTGGTGGCCACCAGGCTCACAGGACAGAGGCACCGGCACACATCTATCTCCCTTCCAGCCGGCTTCCCCGGTACAGACGGCTGCCGGCACCTTCCGGGCGGGCGTTATTTTGCATGACAGGAGGATGGGCCGCTGATTGATTTTTTTCTTTTTTTTTTTCAGGGGGGGAAATCACAGTCAGCGATGCACAGGGGTTACTCCTAGTGGTGCTCAGGGGACCATGTGGGATGCTGGGAATTGAAAACCTGGGTCGGCTGCGTGCAAGGCAAATGCCCTACCCACTGTGCTATCACCCCAGCCACTGTTGATTGACTTTTTTTAAAAAAGAGAAACATGCATTTTATCCACATAGGAAGATCTCCTGCTCTATGCTCTGCTTCCCGACTGGTTACTAAGGTCTCCAAGGGAAATGCAATTTCAAAGGCCTAGAAGATCCTTCTGTCGGCAGAGGGATCGTTTCTATTTTTCTTCGTTAGACCAGAGCCAGGTCTGGCCTGTGGAAGGCTCGCAACCAGGAAACTCCGTCTGGGGATTCTTGGCCTTTTGGTAACTCCCATCCACAGACGGGACATGGTGAGGAGTCCACACTGGTGCCCACAGTGGTCGTCCGGAGACCGACAACTTCTTTTCACTCTTTATTTTCCATGACAATCTTTGTCGAGGACAGAAATCATACATCCACAGTAAACTAAGAGACTTCTTTTTTTGGAGTGGGGAGGGGCAGGGTGAGGCAGGCACACCCGGAGATGCTCAGGGGTTCCTCCTGGCTCTGCACTCAGGGATCACTGCTGGTGGTGTTCGGGGGACCGTACAGGATGCCGGGGATCAAACCCGGGTTGGCCACGTGCAGGGCAAACGCCCTCCCCACTGGACTATAGCCCTGGCAACAACTAAAGGATTCTTTAGAGAAAACGGAGATGAGAAAATACAGATGAGACAACGGTCTCTTATACTAGTCAAAGGAGGTGAGTCTTGAGGGGACATTCTGTACAAAAAGTGGCTCCCATGGCCCAGCGGTGACCCCTGACCGTGGCTGGAGCTGAGGGCTGGCCGGGGGGTCTGGACTTTGGGTCTCCTACGACCCAGACTTGCAGTATTTCAGAGACAGTGAGAAAAAACCCTGGAACTGGTTTATTATCGATGGAATTTCAAAGGTCAAGGGACATTATAAGGTTGAAAGAGTCAGTAAGCTGGTTACACATTGAAATTTGGAGGGAAAATACAGAGAGGCACGTCTGAGTCTCCACCTTGTCCCCCAGAAGTCGTGCAAATAAACTTTCTCTGAAATATCCACTAGAGGGAGCAAGCAGTTGGGGAAAGATCAAAACAGGCTATTTAGCGTTTCCTTGTGATTAAAGTCAGTCAGAGGAAGCACCTAACATTTAAAAAGTCCAACATCTACAAGCTTTTAGCTTTAGCCAAAGCAACTTCGAAAGCTTTAATAAGTAAACCACAGAACAGTGTAAAGTCAGGCATAATTTCTGGGTTTCTAAGATTTAGGCATTTGAGTGCTGGAGATTCTAAACAACAAACAACCACGTCGCTCCCCCAGTCATGTCTTCGGAGAATTTGATGCCACCCACCAATATGAAAGCATGTTTGCCCTAATCAAAGAATGCCTGCAAAGTGAAGTAAGGCCAAATTATTTTTTCTCTTTCATTTGAAGAGTAATAATGTCCTGGGACTCTTACTCCTTCCCAATCCGAACAGAATACTGAGAATGACGTTTAAGAGAAAGTCTCTGTTTGACCCTTCTATTTTAGCATCTTTCTTTGCGTAAATAGAAAGTCATTTTTATTTTTTTTTTTTGGGGGGGGGCGGTTGGTGGTGGTGGTGGTTTGGGCCACACCTGGCGGTACTCAGGGCTTATTCCTGGCTCCGCACTCAGGGAACCAGAGGGGATGCTGGGGAATGAACGTGGGCCCACTGCATGCAAGCGAGCGCCCTGCCAGTTCGACTCTCTCTCTGACCGAGCAATCACCTCTCTTCTCATTCTAGAATATTCACCGATACATACCCACAGGGCCAACTGAGTGAGCATGTCATCAGCCTGCGGGCGGCTTGGCTGGGTCTCGCAGACCAGCTCTACCGTGGGTGGGTCGTTAGCATAACGGAATGAATGTCCAAGGAAGGGAAGGGACCCGCCCAGCGCACACAAAGGGCCTGGACACTGCATTTAGGCAGATCGACAAACCCGACAGTCTGGGGACAGGAGCAGCCGGGGGCCCGTGCTATCCGGGGCATCTCCGGACAGCGCTTAGGCGGGCGGCACGTGTGTGCGAGAGGACGTAGCGAGGGGAGGCCCACACTCACCGTTTTGCTCTGCAGGCTCTGGGGGCTGACGGGCTGGAGCGGCAGGCCGGCTGGCATGGACCTCCGGTCGGCCACGTAGACGTGCTGGGGAAAAGCAACACAAACGCTCGAGTCCCTCTCTCGCCAACGCCGGCGGTGAGACATCTTAAACTCATACTATATGAAATGATGGTGCGGAGACACTGCGGAGACACTGCAGCATATGCACACTGTCTGGGGGTTGCTGAGGACAGCGCCTAGAGCCTCAGGCGAGCAGGGCAAGTCTCTTATCACTGCTCTACACCACTGGCCCCTATTCTTTTTTTTTTTTTTTTTTGCTTTTGATGTGATGTACAGGGGTTACTCCTGGCTCATGCACTCAGAAATCACTCCTGGAGGTGCTCGGGGGACCATAAGGGATGCTGGGAATCGAACCCGGGTCAGCCGCGTACAAGGCAAACGCCCTACCCGCTGTTCTATCACTCCAGACCCTGGTCCCTATTCTTAAACGTAGAATTTAGCGGAAAGATTAGCTTTTAATTTATTTATGTATTTATTTGGGTTCTGGGTCATACCTGGCGGTGCTCAGGGTTTACTCCTAGCTCTGCACTCAGGGATCACTCCCGGTGGGCTCGGGGGACCCGATGGGGTGCCAGGGATCTTTCCTGGGTCAGCTACATGCAAGGCAAGAGCCCTGCCTGCTCTATTCTCTCTCTGGCCCTCAAAGATCAGCTTAAAAAAAAAAAGTTCTGGGAATCTGTGGAAGGCCTGGCTGGGGGCCCATAGGGCACAGGGTGTGCGGTTAGGAGTTCAACTCCCTGCGTCGCATCTGCAGCGGGCGTGATCCTGGCAGCTCTTCTTGAGGTGAATCCCGAGGATGCGAGTGAGTGAAGTGAATTTCGGCTACACACACAGTGCGCGTGTGTGCAGGTGTGGCCGCCAGCAAGCACCACTACCAAGAAGCCATCTGAGCCTCGGGGCCACATGAGTGTGACACACACACACACACACACACACACACACACAGAAGGAGAGAACTCATCAGAAAAAGGGGCAGTAGTACAGACATGGGGAGAGAATGAACCAACTTCAGTTCCAGGGGTCAGTGCAGTACTACAGCGGGCTTGCCTTGCATGTGGCTGACCGGGTTCGATCCCTGGCACCCCACACAGCAGCCCAAACACCATCAGGACTAAATCTTATGTACAGGGGCTGGAGCGATAGCACAGTGGGTAGGGTATTTGGCTTGCGCGTGGCTGACCTGGGTTCGATTCCCAGCATCCCATAGGGTCCCCTGATCACCGGCAGGAGTAACTTGTGAGTGCAGAGCCAAGAGTAAGCCCTGTGCATCACTGGGTGTGACCCAAAAAAGCAAAAAAAAAAAAAAGAAAAAATCTTATGTTCAGAGCCAGGGGTGAGCCCTGAGCCTGGCCGGGGTAGTCCCAAACCCACCAACATCCAAAATAAGCAACGCTGGCTGGATTCACTTCTCTGCCCCTGGCCTCCATCTGCGGTTAAGATCTCCTTCAGGAGCAGAGCACGAAGAAGAAAACTCACTCCTGATAAATGTGTTTGGAAAAGGAAGGAAGATCTTTAATAGCTTTTCCGGCCGATTATAGGTAGATTCATTTCTGAAATTGCACTAAGGCTCAAAAATGGTCCTTTCTGAAGGTTAGCCGCAAAGTGGTTTCCGAAGCTCCGTGGATGAACTTTTCCCGTGGCTACATTAACATTCATGGGCTGATTTGCATGTTAAACATTATTTTTTACTCTTTCAGGACTCTGAAATCTCAGCCCCTGGGCATGTGGGAAGTACTGGCTCCTGGGGGCCACCTGCTCCGAAGGTGACACATTTCAGGTGACTGACGCATGTTGGCAAGGGGACCACGTGCATAGGGGGGCTGCCATGGGCTGCCCGGGACCACACAGGCCACTACTAACCACTGGGCTTGAGGCACTGGACAACCTTCCCTGTTGTGGTGGCAGATAGAAGGTTTCCAACATTCTCATTTTTTTTTTCTTTCTTTCTTTTTTTTTTTTGCTTTTTTTGGGTCACACCTGGCGATGCTCAGGGGACCATATGGGATGCTGGGAATCGAACCTGTGTTGGCCATGTTGGCTGCATGCAAGGCAAACGCCCTACCCGCTGTGCTATCGCTCCAGCCCCAACATTCTCTTTTTGTTGTCATTGCTGCTCTGGTCTTGGGGACCACACCTGGGAGTAATCGGGGACTTCCCCTGGTTTGCGGAGTGGGGGAGCCACGCTTGGCGGTGCTCAGGGCTGACTCTTGGCTCTGCACTTGGGGATCACTCCCGGTGGTGCTGGGGCACCATAAGGCTGCCAGGGATTGGGCCGGTTGCATTCAAGGCAAGCACCCTACCTGTGACACGACCGCTTTGGCCGCTGGCTTAGCTTTTGAATGTATGAAGCGAGAAAACACTGAACTTGGTCACAATGGAGACCTAAGTGCCATTTTTTTTTTTTTTTTTTTTTTTTTGCTTTTTGGGTCACACCTGGCAATGCACAGGTGTTACTCCTGGCTCTGCACTCAGAAATTATTCCTCCTGGCGGTGCTCAGGGGACCATATGGGATGCTGGGAATCGAACTCAGGTTGGCCACGTGCAAGGCAAAGAAAGGCCCTACCCGCTGTGCTATCGCTCCAGCCCCCAAAGTGCCATTTTTAGATGGGACAGACAAAAACTTCCTCCAAACGAAGTTTCTGGGGACTTACTAATTCCTAACTAATGTTACCGGTGGAAATAGTTAGGGCCAGAGATAGTAACGGGGTTTTGGCTCTCTGGATTCCACCTTGGGCACCCCAAAGGGGGCCCAATCCTGCTAGGAGAGATGAATGCAGAGCTGGGAGTGAGCCCTGAGCACAGCCAGGCCTAAGCCCCAAACAAAACCCCCACAAACAGTGACCGGGCAGGAACGATCCTTCCCAGCCCAGTTCAGAGCCTCCTCCAGAGATCCCCAAAGCCGTCACTCCCCACGACGCCGGCCACCCACGCAAACGCCACTACCAGACCAAGTGACACAGGTGGTCTGGCACCAGACCAGGGCCTAAGAGGCAGGGGGGGCGAGTCATGCACTGGGCAGGGGTGGGGAGAGGCGGAGCTGGCGGTGCCGGGGTGTGGGGAGGCGGGAGGGGGGATCATTGAGCCTACCTTAGGGTGCGGGGCCCGGTGTCTGCGGTCCACGGTGACGTCCCCGCGCTGCAGGGGCGAGGTGAGGTCGGCGCGGAAGGCGCGCGTGGGGGAGTAGGGTCCGTAGGGGGGCGACGCGGGCTCGGGGGCTCCGTGCGGGGCTCCGGCGCGGGGCAGCGTGCCCTGCTTGCTGTAGAACTGCCGCTGCTGCCACTCGTACAGCTGCCACATGGTGTCGTCGCGCAGCGAGCGCCGCTTGTCCTCGGGCGGCTCGTGCGCGCAGGGCCCCGCCGCGCCGCACATGCTCTCCGGCCGCGCTTTGCTGTTGCGGGGCAGCGTGCGGTAGCCCTCGGGGTAGCGGGCGGCCGGCGGCGGCGCGCGGTGGCTTGGCATGTTCCGGGGCAGCGTCTGGTACGACACGAGCCTGCGGAGGGGGGACAGGGCGGGCCGTGAGCCGGGCGACCCCCGCCCTGCACCCAGGTCCTGCTTGCAACCCGGGGCCCCGCACCCCGGTCTGCATCCCGGCCTGCACCCAGGCCAAGACCCACACCCCAGATCCGCACTCCGGCTCCAAACCCCATACCCCATCCTGTCCCCGCACCCTGTCCCAAAACCCTGCCTGGCACCCCGGAGACAGCTCAACGAGCTGGAGTGCGGTGCTCGGTGTGGAGGGGATCCCAGGTTTGGAACCACAGGAAGCCCTCACCCTTAAAATCAAACCCCAAACCAAACCAAACCAAAAAAAAAAAAAACCCTGCAACTTTATCAAGGGGGCCAGAGAGAGATAGTATGGCAGATAGGGTGCCTGCTTGTACACAGCCAACCTGGGTTCGATCCCCGGCATCCCATATGGCTTCCCAAGCCCTGCCAGGATGATCCCTGAGGACAGAGCCAGGAATAAGTCCTCAGCCCCGATGGGTGTGAATCAGAAACAACAAAACGGAACAGAACAACCAAGATTTAAAAAATCTTCACATGCAACTAAAAGAGAATTCTCTCAAGATGTTAATAGAATAGGAGCTGCAGAGATAGGACAGCGGTTAATTCTTGCACGCAGCAGACATGGGTTGGATCTCCAGCATCGTGTGTGGAACCCAGAGCACCACCACGAGGAATTCCTGAGTGCAGAGACAGGAGGAACATTTGAACATCACTGGGGGTTCCCTCCCTCCAAAAAAGAAGATGCTAACAGACTTTTCATTCATTCATTCATTCATTCATTCATCATCCTGTTATTCGTCGATCGCCTCGAGCAGGCCCCAGTAACGTCTCTTTCATCCTAGCCCTGAGATTATATTCAAGGCTCTTTAGGAGAATGAGACCCATCATTGTTACTGGTATTTGGCATATTGGGTACGCCACGGGGAGTTTGCCAGACTCTGCCCTGTGGGCAGGCTACATTCGGTAGCCTGCCAGTTTGTCCAAAGTAAGAATGAGATAATAAGATGTCATAAAAAGATGTCCTGATAAGATGTCATGCAGCCGCGAATGCGGCCTCGTGGTTCCAGGAGCTGGATTTTATGGTTTCTGAGTCTTGGCCGCTGATGGGATTACACGGCGCCAGGGGGCCAGGAGGTGGGTGTGACCCCCGCCTACTGGAATTTGGAGGATCTGGGTGGAGGATGCTCGACTCCAATCCAAGTAGGCTTGGAGATCTCGGCCCCGGAACCCGCGTGGCTTTGTCCCTCTGCCAGTACCTTCATGTGTGCTAGAGGGCTAACAGACTATTAGGAGGCATATAGTGCTAAATTTTCTAAACTGAAGGAATAAAATTAAAATACTCGATAAGATACTCGGTTAGCCTTTGCGTTTCTTCATCATCTTACAGCGGTTCGAGTGAGAGGTAGCAGCTTCAATTCTCACTCTCAATGCAAACACAACCTTTGGACAACAATAGCCACAATAAGATCACACAAGTATTCAACTTCCACCTCGACTCCCCTGGCATAAATTCATATCCTGTATCGAGTGTCACCTGGTGAACCAAACACGTGGGAGCCATGTGCCCCTGAAGCCCAGATGCCTGCCCGCCTCTTCCAATGTGGCGGAAACGCCCTTCTCACGCTCTCTCTGCACTGCCATGCTCCCTGCTGCATGTACCTCTGCACGGTCCAACTGCTGCCTCCTACTGGGTATAAACATGGTCCAAACACCCGTGGCCACAGTGACCACAAGGGCTGTAGGACTCATGTGCAAGTTGCTAACCAAACTGCTCAGTTTCTGAAAGCCTGAGACCAGTCTCTTAAGGAAAAAAAAAAATTAAAAAAATTGTTTATTTATTTATCTTGGGTCACACTGGGCGATCCTCAGGGATTGCTCTGGCTCTGCACTCAGGTATCACTGGGAATCAAACCCAGGTTGGTCGCGTGCAAGGCAAACGCCCTCCCCCCTGTACCATCGCCAGAGTCTTTTCTGCCCAAGACGTTTGTCGCTGCAGAAACACTAACACAATATTTCTGTCATAATATTTCTGTGACCGAAGCTGTTAGGTACTATATTATTATTTTTGCTATGCTTTGGTGTTTGGGCCACACACCTGGTGGTTCTCAGGACTTACTCCTGACCCTACTTGGATTTGGGCCGAGCATCTTCCACCCAGATCCTCCAAATTCCAGTAGGCGGGGGTCACACCCACCAACTGGCCCCCTGGCGCCGTGTAATGCCATCAACGGCCAAGACTCAGAGACTATAAAAACCAGCTCCCGGAACCAGCATTTGCAGCTGTGCAACATCCTATTATGACATCTTATTATCTCATTCCTACTTTGGACAAACTGGCAGGTTACCGAATGTAGTCTGCCCACACGGCCGAGTCTGGCAAACTCCCTGTGTCGTACCCAATATGCCAAATACCAGTAACAATGATGGGTCTCATTCTCCTAAAAAGCCTTGAATATAATCTCAGGGCTAGGATGAAGGAGATGTTACTGGGACCTGCTCAAGGCAAGCGACGATTAACAGGATGATTTGTGATTTGTGACTCCTGACCCTGCACCCAGGAATTGCTCTTGGTGGGGGTTTGGGGCATCGTATTGGATGCTGGGGATCAAAGCTGGGTCTGCCACAAGCAAGGCCAGTGCCCTCCCTGCCGTACTATGGCTCTGGTCCCTGCGCTCACATTCGTAACGGGCCTTCTGGGCGAAGAGACAGAAATAGTATGGATGGCACCGAGGGAGTACAGCTACGTCAACTCGACACAAACCAGAACGAGGCCAGGAAACACACAGCAATCAAAAGAGTGGGAAAACAGCCAGGGGGGAAAGAGACTCCGAGATGGTGCTCCTGGGGCCGCACCACATGGGGGCGCCCATGCAGAGCCAGACTCGTCCTATGCCCTCCTGGTGGGACGCAGAGCCAGCCTTTGTGTCAAGGTCCTTTGTTTCACCCAGGCGATGATGCCCCCTGGAACATCTCTGCTTGCTTGGTTCTCAGTGGTGATGGGCACTGAGCCCAGGGCTCCCCAAACACAAACCAAATCCTCCACTGCTGAGTTGCACCCCTGGTCATACTAGGTCGCTGCTGGTGCTGCCATTTACTGTTACGATTCTTTCTGATACATGGAAACATGGAAGGCTCTTTGGGACCCTACGAAGAGACTTTTTTTTTTTTTTTTTACTTTTTGGGTCACACCTGGCGATGCACAGGGGTAATTACTCCTGCCTCTGCACTTAGGAATTACTCCTGGTGGTGCTCAGGGGACCCTATGGGATGCCGGGAATCAAATCCGGGTTGGCTGCGTGCAAGGCAAACTCTCTACCCGCTGTGCTATTGCCCCAGCCACTCTAAGAAAATACTTTTTTTTTTTTGCTTTTTGGGTCACACTCGGCAATGCTCAGGGGTTACTCCTGGCTCATGCACTCAAGAATCACTCCTGGCAGTGCTCGGGGGACCATATGGGATGCTGGGAATCGAACCCGTGTCGGCCATGTTGGCTGCGTGCAAGGCAAACACCCTACCCGCTGTGCTATCGCCCCAGCCCCCCTAAGAAAATACTTTTACAGCACTAAAAACCCCGTGCATTCCTCTGTATTCAAAATATTTGCAATTTGGGCTGGAAGGGTCCAGCAGGGAAGGCTACTGCGTGCGCACTGCACAGCCCAGACTCAGGCAAGGCTAGAAAACACAGGGTGCTGTAATTCCAATAAACACCCGAGGAGCGAGACGCACGCCCTTGACACCCCTGCTGTCAATGACCCGAGCGCGTAAGAACAGCTGTGGTTCGTGGCACGGAATGCCCAGACGCTTACCCCCGGGCCTCCTCCTCGTGACCCCGGCCCTTCTGGATTTTAATCCACTGTTCCAGCTGCTGCATGGAATTCGTTCTCTGTAGCACGCGCTCTGCCTCCGTGTGCAGTGGCCCGGGGTTTGGCGGGTTCCCGCCTCGGAGGTCGGCCAAGCTGACGTTGACCGTTTTGCTCTCGAAACTGTTCACGTTGACGGGCCGGTAGTGTCCAGCCTGGGCTGGGCACACGGCCCCGCCGTCGTACTCCGATGCCAGCGAGTTCAACTTGACGCTGTTGATTTTCGTCAAGGGCCTCTCCTGACCGTCCTTCTGAAATCCATATTTTTCAGCCTCAAGCGCCTTTTTTTCTTCATTTCTGCTCATTTCCTTGTTCTTCTGGTTGTTCTGAACCTCTGGCTTGATGAGTACTCTGTGGTTGGGGATGTTATTGATTTCTTTCGTCGACGCATTTTCCGACGTGACCTTGTCCACTCTGAAATCAGAGAAGGAAAATCAGACTGAATCCGGTCAAGTGATACAGCTCACTTCCGGGATTCAATCTAGGAAAAAAAATATATATATATATATATATAACCGTGGCCTTGATAAACAAACAAACTAACAAAAAAAACCCAATAAAACCCAAAATACCCAAGAGGCTCAGAGCAGCCAGGCCTGCTCAGATGCCCTGTGTTGGGGCAGAAGTTCCAGCTCACCAGCAGACTGGGTGGGCAGAAGAAAGCATCACAGTGAGACATTCTGGAGGAAACTGTGATGTATTCTGCACGAGATGGGACCACTGGGGACCAGGGACCCACAGGCTCCCCTGTGGTCAAGAGGACGAGCACCTTTCCAGATGAGCTCGTGGGGCCCGGTAGTGGGAAATCGCCAGCCAGGAAACTACAGTCTGAGGCTATCAACGTCCCGAGCCAAGACCACGGATGCGTCCAGCCTGCCGTTCTCCCTTCATCACCGTCACCAGTCCCTGTGCCTGTGTCCTGCGGGGCTGGAGTCTGGCAGTCGGCTGTGCCCATCTGGGCCCTGCCAGCCTCACCGCTCACCGTGCCAGCTGCTCTATCTGGGCCTTTGGGGTGAGCATCGGTTTTCCTGAGACTAATCCCTTGCAGGCTCCGACACAACCAACCGAGAACTGCCAAGACCATGCCACTCTCGGAGGCTGGCAGGAGGGGTCGGCCCTTTGGGCTTTCGTCCCCAAGGGCATCCGTGTTGGATCTCCATGGGGGACGCCTACATCTGCTAGTGCTGTGCCCCCTCGCCCCCCCCCCCCCCACCCCAGCAACGCACACGGGCAGGAATAGGATGGGGGAGAGGGGAAGTGAAGCCACAGGATTGGCTTCCTGAGGAATCCCCCGTGGCTGGGGCCGGCTGTCGCCAGCTGTCAGCCACAGCCCCCAGGTGAGATGCAGGTTCATCTGGAGCCCGGGGCACAGTTACTGGGCAGGTTATGGAGCTGCTGTCTTGGAAAAGGAAGTCAGAGCCGACTCACAGCCAAAGCATATTTATCCTTGCGGAATGAGGGGTGGGTGGTGCTGGTGGTTTTAACACTGAATATCAAATTCACAAAACCAGATATTTTCGACTCGGTTATCTTTATCCCAGCTACAGCGGCTATTTTAGATTAGAACCACACTGCCTCTTCCCCTCCCCACCCTCTTCGGGTTTTGCAAAGCCTTGTCATTTACGAAGTGTGACAGGAAAAGGTCACAGAGACCGACTCCTCTCCAAATGCAGTGAAATCGACCTGGAAATGTATGGAAGGTAACATAAATAATGTAGAACGCTCAATTCAATTGGAAAGAAAAAAAAAGTGACATTTCAGTTATTGCAAAAGATGCCCGAAAATACAGAAAATGAAAACAATGAGCCGAAGGGGCAAGATGGAAGATGTTTATCTCTTTTTTAATTGATAGAGGATTTTTTTTTGGGGGGGGGTGGGGTTGGGTCATACCTGGAAGTGCTCAGGGTTTACTCCTGGCTCTGCACTCAAAGGTTATGGTGGTGACTGGGACATCATATGGGATGCTGGCAAGGCAAATGCCCTACCCACTGTCTGGCTATCTCTTTGGCCCCTAGGAGAACGATCTTTTTAAAAATGCCATCAATTACCCACACAGGAAGGGAACTACGACACCATAGCTCATAAGTTTAAGGCTTTTTGAAGAAACAAGCTATCTAATTTGGGCTGATGTTTTATTTCTTAGGTGGGATGTTCTGATAAATTTTTATTTTCCAGTGTTCTGACCATACAGTAAGTAGAGAGAGCTGACTCCCTTCAGAACCGGCAAACAAAACCTCCTCAGACTTTGGGAATGATTAGGAGAACCATCAGGCACCTTCCGTTTGAGAGATCAGAACACGGCAAGAACAGAAGTGCCCACAACTGGACATGAAGAAAAGACAGGATTTCCACAGGGTCACAGTGAAGGACACTGCCAGGCTGGAGACAACTGCCCCAAAGACAACGGGAACAAAGACGTGAGACATGAGTCCTGGTCTTCAGTAGGAAACAGGAAGGGAAGGAAAACCATGGCAACGGGAAGGATTCGGTGCCTCAGGAGGAGGAGAGGGTGCTGAGTGGGGGTGAAGAGTTAGGCACGAAACCACATCAGTTAACACTGCAAACCACAGTGCTTAAAGGAAGAAAATAAGGTGCCTGCCATAAAGGTCACTGCTGGAGAGAACTGGACACTGGTAAAGGCATGGGTGCTGGAACACTGTATGCCTGACGCCCAGCTATGAAACCCAATCACCAATAACTCTGTAAATAATAAATTAAAAAACAAAAACCAAAGAGCAGCCCGAACAATTCTTGGCTACCAAGCACAGCATTCCACTCCAGGCTGAAAGTGATTATGGCCACATATTTGGCGAACAGGTCGCCAGCAACCAAACCAGAGGATGCACCCTCATCTTCATTATTCAGCTCAGAAATGATCATATTGCAGAGTAGGAAACACAGGAAAAGAAAATAAAAAAAAGGCAGGGATTCTGAAATAAGTATAATATACAACACCGAAGTGATCTGGAAATTAAACGTTTTAGTTATTACATAAATTTCTGTGTTAGAAACGAATCCTCAATTTGTAAGTCTACAACTGTACCTCATGGTGTCTCACTAATAAAAAAAAAAAAAAAGAAACTAATCCTCCCAAAATATTATCCTCACGTTAAAACCCACTGAAGATTTTAAATAATTTTCACCTACATCCTGCCTCAGGTTTAGAGTGCAAATCATCTCAGTTTTATGTTTTTTTTCCCCCTAGGCCATTTTCAAACACGGAATTTCAATAGCAGACGTGTCTTGATTCGCTTGTAGTCCAGAATATGCATGTGGTTGAGTTGCTTCTTTTTTTTCTTCTTTTTTTTTTTCATTTGTTTTTGGGTCATATCTGGTGCTGCTCAGGGCTCAATCCTGGCTCTGTGCTCAGGAATCATTCCTGGTGGGCTTAGGGACAATATGGGATGCCTGGGATCGAACCCAGATTGGCCATGTGCAAGGTAAATGCCTTACCCATCATACTATCACCCTAGCCCCGACCTGCTCTGTTCTAAGAACAGGGTCTAATATCTCTATATAAATGAATATTAAAATGATTCATCTGGTGTTGGAGCGGTAGTACAGTAGGTAGGGTGTTGCCTTGCAAGTGGCCGACCCGGGTTCGATTCCCAGCATCCCATATGGTCCCCCGAGCACCGTCAGGAGTAATTCCTGAGTGCATGAGCCAGGAGTAAGCCCTGTGCATTGCTGGGTGTGACCCAAAAAGAAAAAAAAAAAAAGATTCATCTGTTCGGGCAGGGAAAAAAAGAAAACTAAGAACAATTTTAACAGTACATGTTTATATTATCATGAACTCTTGTCATTTCAAAAGAAGGTGAAATTCATCAGGAAGTCGATATAATTACAAGTAATGGAGCTGCTTTCTGAAAACACTAAGGATGAGACAAAGAATTGACCACAAAATGCCGGGGGGTGGGGGGGGGGAATCCACTCATTTCACTGTAATTTTATAAACTTCAAAAACTTGCAAGGTAAAATTTAAACCACCAAGAAATTAACTGTGTGAGTATCAACTCTCTTCTAAGACTTGGGACCGTTAAGGAACTGCATCTTCTGTACCCTTATGATAACAGTGGGAAAAAAAAAATGTACTTACCGGAAGTTAAAGGTAATTCTGTAAGAAGAAAGAACATTCAGTGGGTCTGTTAGGATTCTGCATTCGCCCGGGGGACACTGACAGGTGAAGATGGGTGAGAGGAGAGGGGTGGGGAGCACATGCGGGTTCTAACTAAGAGCATGGATTCCACATGGAGCACGAGCAAACCCTCGCTGGCCAGGGGCCACGCGCTCTCGCGTCCTGCCTGCTGCAATGACCCCGTGCCATGGCACTGACTGGCTCTGGCGTGGCGCCCCGCGAGCCGGTACCTTTTCACGGGCTCCGTCTGGACCAGGGCGGCGTCCAGCATGGCTTTCATCCACAGCTCCATTTCCTTGCCTGTGTCGGTGCAGAAATAATAGGTCCGCATGTTGGGGTGGGCTGCCTGGTGGGAGACGGCACGGTCACGTTCAGTCAAGACACAGGATCTGCAAAGGGAAAAGGAAGGTCAGTGCCGGCCCGGGTCCATCACCCTCACTCTACCGAGACTGCAAGGCGGTCGACGGGGGTCTTCCAGGGGAGAGAGAAACAGAGGATTTCAGGGGCCGGGGCGACAGTACTGGCAGGGAGGGCGTTTGCCTTGCATGTGGCCGACCCGGGTTATATCCCTGGCATCCCCTATGGTCCTCTGAGCACTGCCAGGAGTAACTCCTCAGTGCAGAGCCAGGAGGAAGCCCTGAGCATTGCCAGGTATGACCCAAAAGCAAAACAAAAACAAAAACAAAAACAAAAACCAGAGAACAGATAATTACCAAAAAATGATGCAATCTGTTTTTTAGCTTTTTGGGTCACACCTGATGATGCACAAGGGTTACTCCTGGCTCATGCACTCAGGAATTACTCTTGGCGGTGCTCAGGGGACCCTATGGGATGCTGGGAATGGAAACCAGGTTGGCCTCGTGCAAGGCAAATGCCCTGCCCGCTGTGCTATTGCACCAGCCCCAGTGATGCAATCTTTTTTTTTTTTTTTTTGCTTTTTTGGTCACACCTGGTAATGCACAGGGGTTACTCCTGGACCATGCACTCAGGAACCACTCCTGGTGGTGCTCAGGGGACCCTATGGGATGCTGGGAATGGAAACCAGGTTGGCCTCATGCAAGGCAAACGCCCTGCCCACTGTGCTATTGCACCAGCCCCAGTGATGCAATCTTTTTTTTTTTTTTTTGCTTTTTTGGTCACACCTGGTGATGCACAGGGGTTACTCCTGGCTCATGCACTCAGGAACCACTCCTGGTGGTGCTCAGGGGACCCTATGGGATGCTGGGAATGGAAACCAGGTTGGCCTCGTGCAAGGCAAATGCCCTGCCCGCTGTGCTATTGCTCCAGCCCCAAAGATGCAATCTTAACAGAGAGAAATATTGATTTCTGTTTTTCAAATATCGGGGCCACACCCAGCAGTGCTGGACCGTGTGAGTGGGACATGCAGTGCTGGGCACTGAACTCGGGGGCCAGCACCCCAAGGGCTGCGATGGAGAGTGAGAGAGAGATCACAAAGGTAAGAAAGGAGGCGTGGGAGCACCTCCCACTCACTGCAGTTCCGCCCTCACTTAATGCGCCTGAACTGAGCAGGGACATGGAGGGCCGGTCCACAAGGCAGCAACCCGAGTGACCAAGACTTGAGACGGGGCTGCTGGCCAAGCGCCGGCTCCAGTCCTCATTAACACCAACGTGCACACACGAGAGCTTTACCGACGACCCAACGCTCTTGTTTGTGAGCGTTTCCTCCCGAATGTCAGGGCCAAAAGGGGAACGACTGGGTTTGAGACGAACAAAAGAAGGGCTTGGCCGAGGGTGCAAAGGCCTGAGCACAGGCCCGGCATGCAGGAAGCCGGGCTCGATCCCCAGCAGAGCCACGTGTCGCCCCCAAATGAAAGAGCAAAGAGAAAAGAAGGGGCTACGGACTGGTCATGTTGCTGGTTTCCCCACTGCAGGGGAACAGAAGCAATCAAAGGGGCGGGGGGGGCGGGCAGAAGGGCTGTGGCCACAGGGTGGGCAGTGCCGGGGAGGACCAGGACGCACAGAATCCTGGAGGCAGGCGAGAGCGGGAACAAGGCCCAGGAGGGGGCTGAGCGTCAGGGACGCGCCAAGAGAAACCAGGGCTCTGTCAGTCTAGGGTGATGTGAGAAGCACTAATGGTACATCAGGGGCCGTGCTGCATAACGGGATTCTAGGGTTGCGCCCGGCACTGCCAACTACACTCCAGGATGCCCCACCCATGACGCTTCCACTTCCTTCCTCTGGATTCTCTTTTTTCTGAATCAGACACACTTCCCTAAATACATCTAATAAGATTATCACTGTCACTGTCGCTGTCCTCCTGTTTTTCATCGATTTGCTCAAGCGGGCCCAGTTAACGTCTCCTTTGTGAGACTTCTTGTTAACTGTGTTGGCATATCGAATACGTCACGGGGAGCTTGCCAGGCTTTGCTGTGCGGGTAAGATGCTCCGAAATATTTACGTAAGAGATTCTTGACCGTTGAGGAGAAAGGTAAAACTATCTAGGGAGACAATTGCAAGGAAGCACCTCAAGGGGCTGTTGACAGAGGGGAACGCACTTTCCTTGCAGGTGGCTGTGGATGCAAACCCGTCTCGAGTTCCTGGTTCCACATATGGTCCCCTAACACCGCCGGGTCTGGCTCCTGAGCACGGAGCCGGGAGTGACATCTGAACACTGCGGGCAATGCTTCCACCGGCTCCCTCAAGAAGACTTCCAAGAAGGCTACCAGTTCTTAAAAAGGAGGTGAGGAGCTTGCCTTCCATGTGGTCAATCCCAGTTTGGTCCCGGGCACCACATGTGGTCCCCCACCAAGCACTGCCAGGGCACAGTGAATGTGGTCCAACCATAACCCCCCACATCAAATTAAAAACAAAAGAAACTGAACCCAGCAGGAAGGGTCCCTGGGCAGTCTGGATGGGGCCTGGAGCAACAGCAGTGGAAGGACGTGGGGCTAGAGCCAACGCTTAACCCATAACCCAGACTTAGAAACTCACAGCCCCCCCCCACCCCCCCTGCCCACCGCCACCAGCCAGCATGCAAACGGGAACACCAGTTTCCCACAGTGCTCCGTTTCCGAGTCTACTTACCATTACGACAATCGCAGCATCAACGCTAGCAGACTTAGTGAACAGAGGCTCATAAATTCAGAGGAAACACCACCACAGAAAAGAGGATTTGAAAGAAAAGTTAGCGCTTGTGCTACAGCTAAAACTACAATTACGCCACAATATTAGCGAAAATGTACTCAATGGTTCTGATCACTTTTATGATACTTTTACCACCTCAGTGTTTTTTTAGGAGTCTTAAGAACCTAGCAACACGCCCGACCAACAAGGCACATTCAGTAATATTTGTCAAGATGACGAACAACAACAACAAAAATCTTTTAACCCATGACCAAAACAACAGCGTTATCATCATAATAGTTCTACACAGCAACTTCAAGAAGTTGCGATTCCTGTTGAACTCTGCAGGGCCATGACAAGACCCGCAGGTCCTTGCTCAGACACCCACAGCACAGGGCGGCCCTCGGGCACCCCCCTCCGCTGGACCCCTCTGCTGCCCTTTCTCCTCCACATCCCGGGAACATTAGCCAAGTGTTAAAGTAACACGCAGACCTCTTCCTACGCAGCCTTGGAAAGCACCTGGGAATGAAAAATTCCTCAGCGACAGCACAGGAGAGACAGCCTCTGGGGGAAAGTGCTTGTCCTGCGCACAGCCAACCCAGTTCAATCTCCAGTACCACCTTTGGGCGCCTGGGCACCTCCAAGGACGCTCCTGAGCACAGCGCCAGGGTGATCCCTGAGCAAGGCTGGGTGTGGGAACTCATCCACACCTCCCGTCCCCAGATTCCTTAACACCAATATTCTCCTGCAAATTGAAGTTCATGAAGTACTTAGACCCATGAACATCATGGCAAATAATCTGTAGGATCATAAATTTACATGTAAGTTGTCGATACTATTCTTTTTCCACAAATTTATTAAGAAAAACCCAAACACTGGCTGGGGAGACAGCTCCTAGGACTGGAGAGCACACTTTTAGTCTGTGGGAGTCCCAGGTTTGATCCCTGGAACTTGTGATTCCTGAGTACTTAGCTGGGAGTCGCCTCCAAGAACCAACAGGTGTGGTTTGAAAACAAAACCAAACCCTTAAAAATAAAAAAAAAACAAACAACAAAATGAACCAAATTTCCTAAACAACCAGACTGCCATTCATAATACATTTTTAAGTGAAAAAATTATTGCAATAGAAATATTTCTTTTATAATAATCTATAGGCTAATACCCATTTTCAATCAGTCTAAAAATCTGACTATGACCCTAGAGAATTAAATAGAATGACTTCCTTACCTTAAAAGCGTATTTGCGATTAATGTGGTCCTCTGAGGAAAGCATCGCAATCTGAAAACTGGGTAGCAGGATACTTCCCAAGATACCTTCTTCTTTTTCATCTAAGAAATAATTTAAAATCTGATTAGAATATTCTCAAGGAATAAAAGACAATTTCTCAAAACATAATGTGACCGAGGGAAAAGTTTTGTATTCATAAACCAAATGAATTCATGCATTTCGTTGGCAGTTCCTTGTTTTAAAGGGAAAACATGCAATACCCAAAATAAATGTATTTCCTTGCATGAAAAAAGGCACTATGATATATGATACTGTTTATATTAATACCGCAGAAATACAACAGCTCTATACGACACTGACTATATGCATGGCAGTTTCTTGATTCATGCATTATTAGGCATCTGGGTTGTTTCCAGGTTCTGGCTATTCCGAACATAGGAATGCAAGCATCTTTTTTTTAAATTTATTTATTAAATCACCGTGAGAACAGTCACGAAGCCTTTCAGTTTAAGTCTTGGTCGGCCATACAATGATCAAACACCCATCCTTTCACCAGTGCACATTTTCCACCACCAAGACCCCCAGTGTACCCCCGTCCCACCCCTCACCCTGCCTGTGTGGCAGACTTCCACTTTACTCTTTCTCTACGTTGATCACATTCAATATTATGATAATAGACCCACCATTATTATTTGGAATTTTCCCCAACAATCAGCCCTACCACGAAGACATCATTAGATAATTTGTTTTCTATTGCTGGTTATGAAGAGCACATGATGTTGCCTAGCTGCTATCGCGGCCATGCAATTTTGGATTTCTGATATTCTAATAATAAGTCTAGAGGGATTACTGCCAAAAGCAGGTGGGTTCTGAGGTTGGTTTGTGTGCCTCTGGGATCATGGTCGTTCAGGAGTTGGAGGAGGTATTTGTGGGGGGCAACTCGGGCCTTGTCAGGGTGAGGAGCAGGGCCGGTTCCACCTGCCATGAGGCCCCAACGTGCCTTGTCACTGCAGTCTCATACCTGACTGTCCATTAGGCTTTGAAAGATGATGGCCACCATGCCACTGTCGCCAGGGGGAAAAGGCAGAGGGACAAACATCCTTCTCCTCCCGGGGTGACACGGCGCCGTAGTTTAATGCACAGTCCAGATGCATTTCTGCCAAACGCTGGTGGTATCCGAGATTGGCAAGCGTCTTTTTGAATGACTGTTTTTGTGTTCTTGGGGTAGGTGCTAAGAAGTAGAAATGCTGGGTACTATGGGAGCTCTAGTCTTCATTTTTTGACAAGCCTCCATGCTGTTCTTCACAGAGGCTGAGCAGACCAGGGTTCCCTACCACCACACCCCGACCAGCACTGGCTGTTTCCCACCTTTTGGATATATGTCATTCTCACTGCTGCAAGGTGATATCTCACTGACACTCTGGTTCGCATTTCCCTGATGATATGTGACGGGAAACACTTTGCTTTCTCTGCAGTTGACTATTTTTTCGAACCTTATTTAGAACATCGTGGTTTACAAAGTTACTCACAATGCAGTTGTTTCAGGCATTCTACGTGCCAACACCAACCCCATCACCAGTATGGCCTTCCCTCCACCCTCAAGCCTGTCCCCAGCCCCCCTCCCCCCCAAGCCTGCCCCTTTAGCAGGTACAAAATCATTTATTTTATATGGCTTATTACAACAAAAAGGTAAGTGAAATTATCAAAAAATAGTTCAGTCAGAGAAAATGTGTGAAAACTGTTTTATCTCACAGTGGGGTTATTAAAGTCATTCGTCGAGGATTTACCGAGCTGTTTCTTCCTAGTTGAGCCTTCTATGTGACTGCTCTTGTTTACTGAGCGGACTGGGCTTCTCTGCTCCTTTCCCACCTAATTTGCAGTGGTCCCACTGGGTCCTCAGCACTGTGGAATTCGGAGGTTTCTGCAGCAGGTGAGGAGCTGGGACGATTCGTCGGGTTGTTCTCTACTGAGATGAGTGGTGACACAGTGAGGCCGGACCATTATAGATGTGGTGGGAAGGGGGGGTGTGGTTGCCTGAGCTTCCGGTACTAAGGGTATGGTGGTGGTGGGGGAGGGGGCGCTGCCCGGCCCCAGAGATTTTAGCCCAGAGACCTGTGTGCTGGGTAGTTTCATGGGCTTGGCGTCTCTTCTGAGATGAGCTGTGAAGCTGGGCTGTTTGTCTGAGGGACGCTTTTCATAGGCATAAGCTCACTGGCCATCCGGACGCCTTCTGTGAAGTGTTCAGTCAGCTCCTCTCCCGCCTTTTGAAGGGGTTGTTCTGTTGTGAGCAAGTTTTGAGAGTCTTGGATCTGAGCCCTCTTTCTCCCGGGCGTGGTGAGTATTTTCTTCCACTCAGCAGAGTGTCTTTTTATTTTGGTTTATTTTTATTCCATTTCTTTCACAGGGTAGAAACTCTTTTTTTTTTTTTTTTTTTTGGTATGATGTAGTTAAATTTGTGTCTTTTTGCTCTACTTTTCTTAGCCAACTGACACGGAATCTCGGAAGTTGTCTCTGGTGATGCTCTCATGGTGTTTCCACAATATATTTTACGCGTTCAGGTCTAATATCTAAAATTGGGATCTCTTAGTCCAACTTGAATTAATTTCTTGTGTATGATGCGAGAAAAGGGTTCGAATTATTTGAGGGGTGGTGCAGGGGAGTGGCCGCCAGCTTTCCCTTGCTCTATTTCATGCATTCGGGCTGGAGCGATAGCACAGTGGGTAGGGTGTTTGCCTTGCATGCAGCCAACACGGTCGACCTGAGTTTGATTCCTCCGCCCCTCTCGGAGAGCCCGGCAAGCTACTGAGAGTATCTCGCCTGCACGGCAAAGCCTGGCAAGCTCCCCGTGACATATTCAATATGTCAAACACAGTAACAAGAAGTCTCAAAATGGAGATGTTACTGGGCCTGCTTGAGCAAATCGATGAACAACAGGAGGACAGTGACAGTGATTTCATGCATCTAGTTCCTTTGTCAAGATTAAGTCCAGGGAAGGAAATTGGGGTCATTGGTAGAAGGATGGGGGTTGGAACACTGTATGACTGAACCTGACCATCAACAGTTCTGTAACTCAATATCTCACAGTGATTCAATAAAAAATAAATAAAATAAAGTCAGGGGAAAACTTACTGACCATTTTTTCCACACTTCACCTGGAATATTCTAATACTTACTGTCTTTTACTGTTCCAGCACCAGTGGGACTTTTCTTTCTTTCCTTTTTTTTTTTTTTTTTTTGGTTTCTGGATCCCACTTGGCAATGCCCGGGGGTCACACCTGGCGGTGCTTGGAGGACCATATGTTCATTGAACCCAGGTCGGCTGCCCACAATACTATCGCTCTAGCCCGCAATAATCATCGCTCTAGGGTGATTATTCTAAAACACCCGATGCTGTTATCAGTCTTGTAGTCAAGATAACACGGAAATTAATCGGCAATGTAAACAAAATACCTTTGATGTCTTCACCTATCTGTTTAGCCTTTATTCTTGCTATGTCATCATCTTGTTCCAGCAGCCTTTCCCAAGGTGTGACTTAAACATGCCACGTTCACTCACGCCCGCTCTATGCTGTTTTTTTTTATTTTTAAATTTTTTTAATTGAATCACTGTGAGATATGGTTACTAGCTTTCATGTTTGAGTTTCAATCATACAATGATCAAGCACCCATCCCTCTACCAGTGCACATTCCTCACCACCAACATCTACAGCATAACCCTCCCTTTCCAATCCGCCCTCGGCCTCCATGGCAGACAATTTCCCCCATACTCTCTACTTTTGGGCATTATGGTCTGCAACACAGATAGATACTGAGAGGCCATCATGTTTGTTCCTTTATCTACTTTCAGCACCCATCTCCCATCCTAAGCGATCCCTCCAGCCATCATTGACTTAGTGATCCCATCTCTATCCCAGCTGCCTTCTCCCTGAGCTCATGAGACAGGCTTCCAACTAGGGGGCAATATTCCTGGTCCTTGTGTCTACTGTCCTTGGGTGTCAGTCTCATATTATATTTTATATTCCACAGATGAGTGCAGTCCTTCTACGTGTGTCCCTCTCTTTCTGACTCATTTCACTTAGCATGAAACTCTCCATGTCCATCCACTTATAAGCAAATTTCATGACTTCATCTTTCCTCACAACTGCATAGTATTCCACTGTGTAGATGTACCAGAGTTTCTTTAACCAGTTGTCTGTTCTCAGGCACTTGGGTTGTTTCCCGATTCTGTATGCCGTCTTTCGAGGTCTCCCTTCCTTTGCAACCCCCTCCCTGTGGAGGTGCGGCCTTTCTCATCTGAATGGAGCCCTCTGACAACCTTCCTCAGACTCCTTCAGCTCCCCAGAGTCCTGTGCACAGGCTTTTGGGGCTCATCTTCCTGTGGAAGCAGAAATCCCAGGCGCCCCCAGAGAAGGGCGGATCCTCCAGTACAGGAAGAAACAGCTATGAGATAATGAAGGACCACGGCAGTGCCAGGCTTTCCCGTGAGAACACCAGATCGTTTTATGTAGGGAATTCCAGAAAAACATCTCATTGGAAGAATCAGTAAGAGTTCCTGCAGAAAACCATCCTGGGCTGACTCCTCAGTCCGACTTCTCCTTGGAATATGTGTCTTGCTCGCTCGTCTTTTTCTCTGTCGGCTGATTTCCATTCTGGAGAAGGATGCGTTCTCTCTTGAACATATTCTCTTTCTCTTCTCTAACCTTTTTTTTAAAAATTTTAAAAAAATTTTTGGGTCTCACTGGCAATGCTCAGGGGTTACTCCTGGCTCTGCACTCAGGAACTCAGGGGACCATATGGGATTCAGGGAATTGAACCACCTGGGTTGGTCGAGAGCAAGGAAGACACCCTTCCCGCTGAACTATTGTTCCAGTCCCTCTCCCTTCTTTCTAAGTGAGTTGTCCACTGTCCTCCCGTTGTTCATCGATTTTGCTGGAGCAGGCCCAGTAATGTCTCCATTTTGAGACTTGTTGTTACTGTGTTTGGCATATCCAATACATCACAGGTAGCTTGCCGGGCTCTCCGAGAGGGGCGGAGGAATCGAACCCGGTTTGGTCGGGCTGGCTGCGCGCAAGGCAAATGCCCTACTGCTGTGCTATCGCTCCAACAAAAACTAGCTTGCTTCATAACTTTGCCTCCTCCCTGAAATTCGTTTCTGTGCGGGAAACGTGATGGACGCACACTGCCTGTGCTGAGGTTGGGACGGATCTAGGCTGGGCATTTCCCCGAGTGCTGGTGGCTGAGGTGGGTCCAGCAGAGAGGCTCTTTTCTCGAGTCAACCTCCCTTGCTCCCAGCTTTACCCAGCCACTGGCAACAGACTGAGAAATGTCATGAACTATTTCCGGGTGGCATTTACGGCAGGAAACACCCTCCAACGGGCTCCACATTCTCCACGTCTCCCTTCCGTCTCATCCCTAGCTCATCACGGGAATGTTTAACATTCGAAACATTCTCCTGCCTCTGAGACCAACTCGGGGACAACTACTCTCTGGCCCGTAATACTCTGTTCCTTTATTATCGTTTGGATTTTCCCACTTGTTTATTTATGTCTTGGAGGACGGAGGGGCAGTTCCCCACTCCGTCGTGCTCAGGACTCACTCCTGGCTCTGTGCTCAGGGATCACAGCAAGCACCTCGCCCACTGTCCTCTCCCCAGCCCTGAGATCTTGCTATTTCTGAGAACATCTGCCCGGGTGTGTTCCCTGGGCCCTTCATCCACGCTACGACAGGTTTTCTGTAAAGCAGTTACGTGTGTGCATTCCCAGTTCTTCCGGCTCTCCAAGATGTGGGCTTCCCGACAGCTTCCTTGCCCCTGGACAGACGCTGGTGCTGCTCAATAAACCCCCGCTGAATGGACGGCGGCCCCCAGCGCGCTCTGCCGAGAGGGTCAGAGCCGGCCAACACTCATCACGGCAGGATTGCTACTTGCCCCCCTCCCCACCACCGCTGAGGACAGCGGAAACCGAGCTCGTGTTCCATCAGCCACCGCCCCCTGGCACATCACTGATTACTGTTCTACTTTGTCCTGTCTGGGAGACGCGGACTGACCCATCGGAGAATCCTGAGTGTCCCTGCATGTCAGTGCTCTCAAGGCAGCACAAAGCAATGGGTCCCTCATCTCCGCGGGGCACCAGACAAGCAGAGAAAGGGGAGGGCGCAAGTAAATGGTGGTGGGCAAAGTGAAGGACCTTCCCTCACCCCTGCCCCCCTGCACTGCCTCAGGTGGCCGTGGGAAAGTGAAGAAACAACCCCCCCCAAGTCTCAGGCTCAACCGAGTCACCCCTCAAGAACCCAAGTTCCCTGAGAGTTCACAGAAATCCGATAGATTTTTAATCTAAATTCTGACGTTTCCTGGTGCCAAAGAGAGAAAATAGATTATTCTAGCTCCCCCTGACTGTCTGAAGAGGCGACGGAATTCAATGATGGTCCTGTACTTCTGCATTTTCTTCTCTTACATTCAACCTGCCTGAGGAATTGGACTAGTATTAATACGCTAGATATGAAATGCCTCTGTTTAATAAAATGCAATCTGATTCTCAACGTGGCTTCTGAACTCGCTTCTGCTTTTTTTTTTTTTTTTAAAAATCAGCGGTTCTTCTATTTTGTTAAAAATAATGAGCAGTACCTTCCCATGACTAATAACCAGGATTTTACTTTATTGCTGATTAACTTGACGGCATTTCTTATGGAAATAGTGGTAAACATTTTCTCGCTCTCAATTTAAGGCTTTAAATGGTCTATAAATAAACTTAAAAAGGGAGGAAAGGAAAAATTATGAGCTTAGAAATAATGCCTAAGTTACAGCTCCTGACTTTCCGAAAGAGTGGGAAAACCATTATGGAAAATTATAGAGTAAGCTTGGCACTCAGCTGAAGATAATGCCACAAGTGCAGCCAAGCCAATATCTCTAGGAAAAAAATAAAATTTCATCAGTTTGGTATATTCAAAATCGGCGTCTTCCTCGACCACAATTTGCAGCAAAAGAAAGGATGAATGCTAGCTCACAAACGAATTTATGTCATGCTGACTGAAAGACAAATGCCAAATCTCGCCAGCTTGTGGTACGTAACCATGAAGTGAATTAAACAAAACAAAACAAAATAAAAACTAATGATCAGTTATAAAATCCTACTACATATTCTAGCAAAGTTGTAAAATGATTAGTTGTGTGTTGACGACCTAATTTTTTCAGTGATTGTTTCTGACCTGATTTTTTTTTTTTAGGGTCACACCCGGCGATGCTCAGGGGTTACTCCTGGCTCATGCACTCAGGAATTACTCCTGGTGGTGCTCTGGGGACGACATGGGATGCTGGGAATCGAACCCAGGTTGGCCGTGTGCAAGGCATTTGCACCCTACCCACTGTGCTATCGCTCTAGCCCCCACCAACCCGATTTTGAAGTAGGGGAAAGGACTGAGAGTCTCTTCAGGCTTCTGCGTAACTGTGGGAGCAGTCTGTCATGGAAAGTCCGAGTTACGCCCGTGTTCCCCATGAGGCACTGACCCTGCGGGGTCTTAGAGACCCCTGTGGTACAGGAATTGGTTTCTCAGGACTGTGATGGGAAATCATGCTGAACAATATTTTAACCAGAACTTTTTTTTTCTTCTTTTCAAAGGAGTTTCTATGATATCATCCTTGGAGCAAAAACGAAGGTTTGTTACTCTGGAGATTGGAGAATATTTTTATTTCCTCTGCACCAGTCTCAGCAGTCTGGCTCGCGTTCCTTCCACAGTCTCCAAACACCAGGGAGGCAGTGGGGGGGGGGGGGGGGACAGTTATAAAACAGAGTTGGGGGATTCCCAGTCAGCATGCTTCTTTTGAGGGGGGTTGACCCTCAGCACTGCCCGGTCCCCCTCAAGCAAGCCTGTCCTCATTACCACCACCCCACCAGTGCCAACTCCCCCGCTAAGGCTAGACACTTCTTTGTAAAATTTGTTACTCATCAATATGTTATAGTTATCTCTGATCTGATGGCTTGAGAATCTTTTCTAGGGGGACAACTGGGCATTAGGTGGCCAGCAGGCTGACCAAGGATCTCCTCAAGCAAGGAAGGGTTTTATCCGTTAGGCGCGGAACTCAGGAGAACAGGAAGCGGAGAGTCATCTGCAGGACGTGGTGGGACTCCGGCAACCACACACGAAGCCCCAAGTCGCATTCTGTCCCTGTTCCCCCGACCGCCTCAGCCGTGCCCTGGACACAGATCCCCCCCCTCCCTGCGGTCACGCTGACTCACCTCTGTAATAGAAGAGGCAGAGGTCAGAGAGCACGAACCAGCGTTTCTTCCACAGCCTCATGCCGCTGCTGTCCTGCACGAGGGCAGAGCGTTTAAGGGTTATTCCTTCATTTCAGATCACGGTAACTAATCACTTCAAAGAAGCTTGACACCCTGAGGAGCGGGATGGTAGTGACGGGGAGGGCATTTTCCTTCCATGTGGCTGACCTGGGTCCAAACCCCAGCATCCCATAAGGACCCCTGAGCACTACCAGGAAGAAATCCTGAGCATAAAGGCAGGAGTAACCCCCAAGCATCTCCAGGGGACAGTTGTGTCCCCGTAATCCTCCAAAAAAGGGGTGGTTCTTTTCTTTTTTTTTTTTTCCTTTTTGGGTCTTACCCAGGATGCTCCGGGGTTACTCCTGGCTCTGCACTCAGGAATTACTCCTGGTGGTGCTTGGGGGACCATATGGGATGCTGGGAATCGAACCCGGGTCGGCCACATGCAAGGCAAATGCCCTCCCTGCGGTACCTATCATGCCAGCCCCAGGGGGTGGTTCTTAAAAAAAAAAAAAACCTCCCAAAAAAGAGGGCCTGTTTTGTAAAGACAATACAAAGCCCCACCCACAAATCAAGTAAACAAAACCACCATCACAGTTTCTGGGCGGTTTGGCTGCTTTTTGGAGCAGACAGCACTTTGAGGCCCCCCTGGAATGGGAACGGTGGACGCCATCTGATGTGGTGCCTAGTTTAAGCCATCTGAGGCCACACTCTGAACAACAGCCTGTCTATATGGCCACGTGAGCACGCAATAACGAGTGCGCCCTGGCAAATCAGGTTTAATAAATCTGTTAGTCCTCAACAAGATGGGGAAAGCTATTCCAAAGGGGAGGTGACTTAAACCGTCAGTGAATAAAGGAACCTCAGCCTACAAATAGAATTCATAGACTATTTTTTTTCTTCTTTTGCATACAGTTTGTGTTCTGCTCACCATGCAGAAAACTGTCTATTCTGCAACCCGAGGTAATTTCTTCTACAAAACACCAAACTTTAGAACAAAACCACATTTTTAGGGGAGGGATTTTGGTTGGGGGGGGGGGCGGGGGAACACATCCAGAGGATCTGGCCCATGGACCACACCTGGCAAAACTTGGGCAACCGTGTGGGATCTTGGAGGTCAAACCCGGGTCAGCCACCTGCCAAGCAAACACCCTGCCTTCTGGACTATCTCTTCAATACCCCAAACAAGAATTTTAATAAAAAAATTTTACTCCAGCAGGTAATTAAGCAACATCCAGAGGAAATAGAGGTGAGCGAGAACTTGAGCCCAGACTCGCCCCTGCACTGCCTGGCCTTGGCACCAACAGGGCAGATCCTAAGGACGGCCTGGTAGAGGCAGGAGATCGGCGTGAGCCAGTTCAGTTTGATTACTATCTTAATTTATTTCTGCTTTGTCTAGTAAATAGTAATGGTTTTAAACTAAAGAAACTACCAGAGCGAAAAATGATGTGTTGGGGTTGGAGAGAGATAGCTTGTCAGGCTTCACAAGCTGGAGCCTGGGTTTGAGCCCCACGGTCCCCCAGCCACTTCCGGAGGCAACCCAAGGGCACTGAGTACCACTGGGTGGGGCCCATAACTGCAGAGCTTCCCTGGCATATGTGAGGCTGTGGGCTTCCCCATTCACTATAGACCCCTCCCCTAAAGCAATAAAAATGGAACTAACCAAAGAAACTTGCCAAGTAAAAATTGAGAACCACACCAAGAGAGGAATCAAAAATGTTAAATAACAAAGTCTCTTTTTCAATTTTCAAATGAGAATCTCTCTTTTGTACTGATAATTTTAAAGTTTAGAGTTTTAAGCAGCTTGGCAAACAAATCTCTTTTGAAGTTTTAGCTGGTCCACTTCCACAATGCTAAAGAATCACAAAAACAAGAAATCTCAAACCCTCTATTAGATTTAAATCACTGCCTTGAGCGAGATATATTTTGCACTTCTTAGCAAGACTAGTTTTAAATGACTCTTAGCAAAAGCTTAAAATATAGGAGAAATCATTTAAAAAAAAAAACCCTAAAAAGTTGGTATCTAGGTTCTGAGCAATAGAGCTAGTAGAGCTGGTAGGGAATTTGCCTTGCACACAGCCAACCTGGGTTCAATCCCCGGCATCCCATATGGTTTCCCAATCATGGCCAGGAGTAATTCCCAAATGCAGAGCCAGGAGTAACCCCTGAGCATTGCCAGATGTGACCCAAAAAGCCAAAACAAAACAAAACAAAACAAGTTGTTATCTAATTTATTCAATTAATCAACTCAGTGAGAAACTAGTGAAACCAACAGACTTGAATGAATGATCAGGAATTTTCTTGATTTTATAATGATCATTTCCAATATATTGGCTCAGTAGCCACTCAACTTTCAGACGAATCATCTCTATTTAATGTTTCCTAACAAATTCATACTAAATTTCAATGAGCAAAATTATTGGGTCATTCATCTGAAAGCAAACACGAGCAACTCCAGGCAGAATAATAAATACCATCTTGGGCCTTCTCTTCAACTCACTCAGTATCACCTTGAGGTGCATAGAATCACGGCAAGGAGAGACTTAAGAGTAAGAATGGCCTCAAATGCCCAGTGCATCACCTTGGAATTATTGCAACTTTATCTGAAACCCTGCTGCAAACCACAGAGTAAAACAGAAAGCCACATCCTCTAGGATGATTTCATAAAACTCATGGAGGTGAAGTATGCGCATCCGTGCTAATTCCGGAACTGATAAGGTCCCACAGACATCACAACCATAGACCTCCCAATCTATCGACATTTCTTTTTTTTTTTTTCCTTGACTTTTTTGGGTCACACCCAGCTATGCTCAGAGGTTACTCCTGGCTCTGCAGTCAGGGATCACTCCTGGAGGTGCTCAGGGGACTATATGGGATGCTGGGAATCGAACCCGGGTCAGCTGCTTGCAAGGCAAACATCCTACCTGCTGTGCTATCGCTCTAGCCCCTAACCCTACCCTCAACCCTTAACAGTTTAGGAGAGCAGATACTTCAAGTTTAGAAATATCTGAACCAGCCTGTCTAGGGGCTTGGTAACTCAGGTGTCATTGCTGGCACAGTGATGTCAGGGGGAGGGTGTGTGTGTGTGTGGGGGGGGTTCTGTGCACCCCACTGTGCTGCTGTGGGTACCCACCTGCTTGTACAGCCAGCCGCGCCTCACCACCGGAGCGTTGGGGTTCCTTTTAATTGAATTGGATCGCTTTCCAAAGTTATGAACTTTTTTAGACGCCCGTGAAGTCTAAGGAGAAAAACAAACACATACTCATAACATAATACATGGTCCGCAGCCCTTGGTGTTTGAGTTTGCTTTTTGTGTAATTTTTTTCTTTTTGGGTCACACCCGTTGATGCCCAGGGGTTACTCCCGGCTCTGAACTCAGGAGTTATTCCTGGCAGTGCTCCGGGGACATTAGGGGATGCTGGGAATCGAACCTGGGTTGGCTATTTGCAAGGCAAATTCCCTACCCGCTGTGCTATCGCTCCAGCCCAATTTATAACTTTTGTAGCTGTTCTAAGGCATGAGGGACAAAATCCTCTCAGTTGAACGGCTGCGGTTTTGCTTCTGCTAACTTCACTGTCTCCAGTCTAAGAATGCCACATGGACTTTTAACCCCCGGGAAAATGGAAGAGAACCACAAGTTTTACAAATTTTGTTTTAAAAATAACAGAAACGTTGTCAGATACTAGCATTATATAATACATAGCATCTCACACGCACTCTACAGAGCGATGTCCCATTACATAAACTCACTAAACACACACATACATGTCCCATTATACAAATTCAATAAACATTAAGTAAAAAGTTAGTGAATCTTTAAGAATAAACCAAAAGTTATTTTGTTGGTTTGATATCTAATACTGTTTCAATTAAAGAAAATTAACTGTGTCAAGTCAGAAAAGGAATATCCTTAAAATACAAATTACGCATGCCACATGAAATCAAAGCATGATCAGAAAGATCTGCTTAATGTCATCTACTGTTCTCTTCACTTTGGACAAGTCTGAATTTGAATAATACCAAGCAGATGGTGATTACTCTAGTCTCAGAAAGTACACAGAAAGGTATGTAATCGTTTAAAACATTTATTTTGGCAGGAATGGTGGTAGTAATCAAAAACCAAAACACTGAATTTGAGGCTCTCTGCAGACAAATGTCAAATTATCTCTTAATTGTCTTTTCTTCTTTTTGGGCAGTGCTGGGAGCTGAACCAAGGACCTCACTCAAGCGAGGGTGAAGTTACAACCTCTCCAGCTTATTTATTTATTTATTAAAATTTTACTGAATCACCATGAGATAGTTACAAGCTTTCATGTTTGGGTTACAATCACACAATGATCAAACACCCATCCCTCTACCAGTGCACATTCCCCACCCCCAATATCCCCGGTATACCCTTCCCCCCTTTCCCACCCTCCCCCTGCCTCCATGGCAGACATTATTACCCATAAGCTCTCTCTACTTTTGGGCATTATGGTTTGCAATACAGACCGAGAGGTTAGCATGTTTAGTCCTTTATCTACTTTCTGCACACATCTCCCATCCCGACCGATTCCTCCAGCCACCATTTTCTTAGTGATCCCTTCTCTATTCCAGCTGCCTTCTCCCCTTTGCTCATGACACAGGCTTCCAGCTATGGAGTAATCTTCCTGTCCCGTTAATATACTATCCTTAGGTGTCAGCCCCATGTTATGTTGTTTTATACTCCACAAGTGAGTGCAGTCCTTCTATGTCTGTCCCTCTCTTTCTGACTCACTTCACTTAGCATGATACTCTCCCTGTCTATTCGTTTATAAGCAAAGTTCATGACTTCATCTCTCCTGACAGCTGCAAAGTATTCCATTGTGTAGATGTACCAAAGTTTCTTTAACCAGTCATCTGTTCTAGGGCACTTGGGCTGTTTCCAGATTTTGGCTATTGTGAACAGTGCTGCAATGAACATATAGGTACAGATGTCATTTCTACTATGCTTTTTTGCATCCTTGGGATATATTCCCATAAGTGGTATTGCGGGGTCCTATTGAAGCTCAATTTCTAGTTTTTGAAGGACTGCCCATATTGTTTTCCAGAAACAACTAGTGGGCATTTCCACCAACAGTGAAGCTAAAAACATCTTTAAGGATGAAACAGCACTGACCATGCAAGTGGAAGCAAACATAAACAAATGGGACGATATCTAACTACGAAGCTTCTGCACTTCAAAAGAAACAGTGACCAAAATACAGAAAGAGCCCACAGAATGGGAAAGAATATTTACCCAATACCCATCTGATAAGGGATTAATATCCAGGATATACAAGACCCAAGTAGAACTGTACAAGAAAAACTGTACAAAACTGTACCCATCTGATAAGGGATTAATATCCAGGATATACAAGACCCAAGTAGAACTGTACATCAAAAAATGGGGAGAAGAAATGCACAGAAGTTTCCTCAAAAAAGAAATACAAATGGCCAAAAGGAACATGGAAAAAAAATGCTCCACATCGCTAGCCATCAGGGAGATGCAAATCAAAACAACAATGAGATATCGTCTCACACCACAGAGACTGGCAGACATTCAAAAGAACAAAAGCAACCAGTGTTGGCGTGGATGTGGGGAAAAAAGGACACTCTTCCAGCTTATTTTTCAAGGCTAATCTAGGGTCTTTCAGTCTAGCATACGGCAAAAATCCATTTCGTGGAGCTTATTATTACATTGTCAACATTTTAAGTCCATATATATATTTTTTTTTCAATTTTGCTAAACTATGTTTCTTTGGCAAATTTCAATTTATTTCCGAAGAGCTAATGATTAAACACAGTATCAGAACTTAGAAGATAAGCCGAGAGTAGGCTAGCTTTCCTTCCTGGGCTCTCACTTTCCATCTCCGGTGCAAGCCAGTGCACCCCGAGAGATAAAAGGTGCTCAGTGTTCTGTCATTAGGGGACAACTTTCTTCCCCCTCAAAAGACAACACTTCTAGTAGCTCTTCTGTTTCACTAGTTACTGAAACTCACCTCTCTAAATAGAATGTCTATTTACTCATTCAACATGACAGACTTCTTACTTGTACTGTACTTTTGTGTGTGTGTGTGTGTGTGTGTGGCTTTTTTGGGTCTCACCCAGGAGTACTGGGGGTCACTACTGGCTCTTCACTCAAGAACTACTCCACAGGGGAACCCTGTGGAATGTCGGAATTGAACCTGGATCAGCTGAGTGCAAGGTCAACGTCCTACCTGCTGTACTATCTCTCTGGCCCCCTGTACGGTACCTTTTAACCTAGACAAAAATGATAAATATTTCTGGATGGTATAGTCCCGCCCCCCATTTTAAAATATACTCCTGTCTAGATAAATTCTGTCTGGCAAGTAAAAATGGTACTTTCCCTCCTTGATTTAAATTAAGACTCTTCACATTATGTTTGAGTCTGCAAATCTTTGTCACATATTTGGGAGAAAAGTTCTCTACTTCCTTTTTTAGACAAGTGATTTTTACATAATCTGCCCATTTAAAAAAACTGGGTTGTAAGCCTTTTTTCTTATTGATTCATAGCATTTCTTTAATTATAAAGGAAGTAGTACTTAATTGTTCAATAAATTGCAGCTATTATCACAAATGATAAATGTCGCTGAATTTCTCATTCTTTCCCACTGTGACTTCTGCATTTTATGGCATATTGAGAAAGCCCATCTGCATCCGGAATTCTTTGTTTTTTTTTTTTTTTGATTGCATCATCCATCACTGGTTTTTACAGAGATATTTAGAGAAGGGTTTTTGGCCACACCTGGCCAGTTCCTGGCCTTGTCCTCTGTGACCCCTGAAGGTACATGGGGGACCCTACGGAGGTGAGGTGCTGGGGCCAGAACCAGAGGCTGTGGCAGGCAAGGCCACGTAACACCCCCTGCCTTGCCTCCCATAATCTCTCTCCAGCCTGAGATTTTCATTTTTAACATTTCAACAGTGGATTCGTCTGAAGGTTTTGCCGCAGAGCATGAGGCAAGAGCTCACCCTCCTTTTGGACCTACGTGCCTCGATCCACTTACTAGTTTTCTAGGCTTTAATTAAGATCAATGAAAGCAACATTACAATGCTCAATAAGCCTACTGATATTCTACACAAAAATTAGAATTCACATTTCTTGAAATTTTGTGTTTGATTCTGGATTTTGGGCCACACCCGCGTGTGCTCAGGGCCTACTCCTAGCTCTGTGCTCAGGAATCACTCCTGATGGGGTTCAAAGGACCATAAGGGGTACTGGGGATCAAACTGGAGTTAGCTACATGCAAAGCAAGTACCTTAAGTCTGTATCATAGTTCTGGTCCCACATGTAGATGTTTTTATTTATGTGCACAGCCCACAAAACTTCAAATTCCAAATTAAGTAACTGCCTACTACCACTTCTGTAGAATAACTGCAATTTAATCGTTCAATGATAAAATGGCAGATTTTAAATGAAGATTTCTGTGTTACCGTCCCATGGTGCTTTTATTAATTCAGGAACTGAGTAGTAGCTTTGAAGCTATTATCCATTCAGATTTATCAGTACATTTTCTAAGATTTTCAAGGAATTTTTATACGAAAAATCCTGCACTTAAAACATTGAATGGGGCCGGGAGATAGTCAATGGCTGAAGGCCCATACTTGATCCCTGTACCGCCTGGTAACCCGCTCACCCCAAGTGATGCTAAACCAAGAGTAGCCCTGACCACTGCCAAGTGTGGCGTCCAAACACAACCAAACGTGTTACCGATGAAAGACAACCGGCAACAGCTACGAGTTTTTATGGACGCACGAGGCTGACTCAGAGAGCAGCACGACACGATTCCGTTTCTGATGAGGAGGAGGGCAATGCCCTGGGCCCACTGCCAGGCTGATGGCGCCCTCCCGCACCCCTGGACAGTGGCTCCCTTCTCGGCGGGGACGTTCCCAAGCCCCTCGATGAGTCTTATGTATATACGATTCCATTAGGCGGATCACGGATGGATTTCCAATTACCCATTCTAATTTTAGCCTAAGCCCCATTCAGGTATGGAGTTTCCAAAAGGATTTCTAGGCTAGTACCGTCATCTTTAGCTTTACCACGTAAGTTGATTCCAGAAACTACGCAACTCTGATCCATCACATTGGTGAAACTGTTTGAACTATCTGAACTGTGGAAGGTTTCTAAAATGTCTAAAAATGTCATCAGGAAATGATTACGGTATAATCTGGTTTATTCCAATTCCAATTCATTAGTTTCTCATGCCAAGTGTAAGTAGGTCCCTGTAATAATCAAAAAAAACGCAAATTGCATAATTTCCAGTGCCCCGCGAGTCACAGAAACAGACCCTGCGGTAACTGTAGCTCTCATCACTGACTGACAGGGTGCAGGCAACTCACCCTGCCCACTGGGCTCATGGGGTGCGCCCCATAGTCCGAGGCCAGGTTGTAGCTGGACGCTTCATTCATCATGCTTATTGCGCGCTCCTTCTTCTCTTCAGACGTCATGTTGGCGACAGCCCTGAAAACACAGTATGCAAAAAAAATGCAAGAACGTGCTGTGCGTGGGATCTGCTTGCTGATGAAGGAGCAGGTGAGTTAACAACGCTCGGGCCCTATGTTATTAAAACAGCCAAAGACAAAGAGTACCGGACAGGCTTGAGAGAAAGAACTTACAGGTACATATATACACATCTGCTTTCCAATATATGCAATATTCCTCTTAAGCACAATGTAAGTGAATCAGATGTTCATTGCAATGCAGCATCGTTAGATAGACTTTAATCCTCTCGCCAGAAAATCTAAAATTTAATTACAAGATCAACTCTTCTAATAATGAACAGTATCAATAATCTTGATGACTAATTTTGTGAGACTTATATAAATATGTTCACACATAGTTAATTCGATGCTAATAAAAATGCTGAGACGTGGTAATTACGAGTAGCTGATCTGCTTACGAGGGGGAAAAAAATGAGCTCAGAGTAGTTTAATAACGTGATTAAGTTTATAGTTTTGTGGACTTTGCATCCTGAGAGACTGAGCTCTCCGTGATAACGATCAAAAATTTAAAATTATATTTCTCATGAAAAAAATAATTAAAGTTGTGTTTCTTAACTGCACAGTATAAACCAATAGTGCTGGCCATTATTACACTAGATAGCAAAGGTCCAGATCATTTGCTGTCTAGAGTAATTAAAAAAAAAAAACGGCCCTCGGCCTCTCCCCACCCTCTAGGGCTGGGGCCTGCGGTGCAAGCCGGAAGCCAGACTCACTGTTCATTCACCACGAAAATGCAGTTGTCCTGGGATGGCTGTCCCGTCACGGGGTGCTTGCACGTCACTTTCCTTTCATTGTGGCTGAGGAAAAAAAGAGGAAAGAGAAAACGTTGGCATTTCTATTTCCACAGACTGTTCTCCAAGATCGTCGCAAATGAGCTGCAGCTCAGTAGAACGTCAAGGTTAGGGGGACAGTGGAGAGAGAAATTCAAATCCGCAGGTGCTGGACGTTTGAAACACTTCCGTCTCCTGTGCCTCTTGGGTGTGCAAATGTCACTTAGAGCGCTACATACTACCACCAAATTCACTCCTCACCGGTGGGGACAAAGTTATGTTAGGGGCTGGAGCGATAATACAGCAGGTAGGACATCTGCCTTGCATGCGGTTGAGCTGGTTTCAATCCCTGGCATCCCATAGAGTCCCCCAAGCACCGCCAGGAGTAATGCCTGAGTGCAGAGCCAGAAGTAACCCCTGAACATCAATGGATGTGACCCAAGAAGAATAAATAAATAAATAAATAAATAGTTATGTTAACTGGCTTCTGCGATCATTGCATTGTATACTTGGTAGGTGACTCATGAAAAATAAGAATAGCACGGTGCCTTGAACAACCCAAATATATTTCAAATGTAATTTGAGATAATTTTGGTAAACGGGAACCTTTAAAATTTGATGGTGTGTCTTCTTTACCCTACAGATATTGAAATATATACACAGCAGGAAGAATAAATAAAAAATCTATAAGCAAGGAAAATGAACCAATAAAAAAAAAGTCAGCATTAAAAAAAAAGCTTGATGGTGTGAAAATGTATGTCTATAGTTGTAAAATTGAGTGTCATACTTTCCCCCCTACTGATGTTTATTAATTAGAGTTATCCTATGCGAATAAAACAGTGGAAAAAAACTGACTTGGTCTTAACAAGATTTTTGGCTAGTATGGAGACAAACTGGCATTGCGTGTGATAAAGGCATCCAGGAATATTAATGTGGGGTTTTTCCAGATCAGTTAAATTTTCTTTAAATATTTAAACAAATTAAACTGGTGAAGTAGGGAAGAAAGGAAAGATGATGACGATAATAATAATAATAATAATAATATCTACCAATTTCCATTATGTTGCAGCCCAATTTTGGCACATTAGATACCAGGTCAAACTTACAAATAAAAAACCTTACAAGACTACTACCTGGGCATTGTGCTTATTAAAAGACATGGCCAGAACTACTGGCCCAGGTCTCACTGTGGTGGTCCTGGGACCCTCTGCCCGGGAGGAGGGATCTAGCCAATGGCCCCCTGAAAAAAATATAAAGTGCCACTGGAGGAGGGCTGCCAGTTTATGATGTTTCTATTTTTTCTAAAGAACCCCCAGAAATAATGGGGCCCTGTGACCCTGCAGAGACTCCTATAGAAAAATGGCATCTGAAGGAAATCTTAAGTAAAATAGACAAATCGCCTAAATGGATAAAGATCTACTCGTTATGTTTACTGGAAAAACTTTTTATTGCTTTGAGTTAAAGGAAGAATTTTGCCAAAAAAACAGTTTCTTTCTGGGTCGAGCAAGATTGTCTTTTACTGTATTTTTAAAACAACAGAAGGAAGAAAGGGAAAACACACAAAGTTAAAGCTGGTAGACACCTGACAGGATGCTGGGCCTTGACATACTGGATATCACACACACACACACACACACACACACACACACACACACGCACACTTGTTTTCTGGGCCACATCTGCTTAGGGGTTACTGTTGGCCCTGCATTCAGGAATCACTCCTGGCGATTCTCGGTTTACTCCAGGCTCTGCACTTAGGAATTATTTGTGGTGATGTTCAGGGGACTATATGGGATATGCCTGGGTTCGAACCTATGTCAGTCAAGTACCCAGTCCACTGTACTATCTCTCTACCCCCAAATTACTGTTTTTATTTATTTACTTTTTGGGTCACACCCGGCAGTGCACAGGGGTTACTCCTGGCTCTGCACTCAGGAATTACTCCTGCGATGCTCAGGGGACCATACGGGATGCTGGGAATTGAACCCGGGTTGGCCGTGTGCAAGGCAAACGCCCTACCTGCTGTGCTATCGCTACAGCCCCAAAATAGTGTTTTTAAAGTTAGGTGACATGTCAGAACATCCTGCAGTTCATGAGATATTATTAGTATGCCTGACCTTAGGAAACTCCGTTTCATCACTGAGGAAAATTTAAGATGTCTTATTGAATATTTCTTTCTTAATCTTAAAACACACACACACATACATACAAACAAAACGCAAAACTATTACATGTGTTCAGTACTGCTGAAATCAACAACCACACGTCACAAACTTTCTGGCAAACTTTACGTGGTTTCTTTCCCCCAAGCTCCATTTTCATTAATATTATTTCTGCTGGACACACGGCACAGATATGTACGTCCAGACACTAAAAAGAAGTAAACAAAAGGCCCATGGACCCCGCCATAGGAGGTGCCAGCCCTCCACCCCTGAGCTGTGCCCACAGCCACACTGCTCCAGGCTGACGAACTGCCCGGCTAGCGACTCCATGACCTCTGCAGAACTGGGGTGGGGAAGGGGGGCGGTGAGTAGATTTCACGCCCTCTGGCCAGCTTGGCAGCCTCCACACCCGAACTTGCTGCAGCAAAGGGCCCAACTCCTAAAGCTCACCCACGAGGGCGATGGCTTCTGCCAACTTCACATGTGGGAGCACAGCAAACCTGATGTGGAAGATGCTTAGAAGGCCAACAAGCTCACATAATGGAATATTACTTGGCCATAAAGATAGTCATGGAATCTGCTCTATATGGAGGGACCTGGAGAGTAATCATGCCAACGAAGAGGAGGGAGGGAGAGAGAGAAGGGGGGGGAGATAAGAGTTATCTCTCTCATATGTGGGGGATAGAGAAACATAATGGGGGAATAACGAAAACCCAAAGACAAGAGAAACAAAGAACACGAGAACTGGTGTTCAGGAGGAAACATGTCACTTGAAAGGGCCGGATGCTAGGACAGGAAGACGGCAACGTCTACAGCGGAGGGAAGCGTCCAAGTAGGAGGAGGAGAAGGTGTGGAAAGGGGGTAGAGTGCTACGGATGCCAAGCACAAAAGTCAGATCCAAATGGATTAAAGACCTCAATATCACACCTGCATCCATAAGACACATGGAGGGAAATGTAGGCAGAACCCTCCACGATACTGAAGCTAAAAGCATCTTCAAGGATGAAACACCACTGGTCAAGCACGTGGGAACAAATATAAAAAAATGGGACTGCATTAAACTAAGAAGCTTCTGCACCTCAAAAGAAACAGTGACCAAAATACGGAAAGAGCCCCTGGAATGGGAAAAATTATTTACCCAATATCCATCAGATAGGGGCTTACTAGCCAGATATACAAGATACTGGTAGAACTTTACAAGAAAAAAAAAAAACCTCCAACTCCATCAAAAAATGGGGAGAAGAAATGAACAGAAACTTCCTTAAAAAAGAAACTCAAATGGCCAAAAGGCACATGAAAAAATGCTCTATACCACTAATCATCAGGGAGATGAACATCAAAACAACAATGAGATATCACCTTACACCACAGAGACTGGCACACATCAAAAAGAACAAGAACAACCAGTGCTGGCACGGATGTAGGGAGAAAGGGACTCTCATTCACTGTTGGTGGGAAGGCTGACTGGTTCAGCCTTTTTGGAAAACAAAATGGACATTCCTCCAAAAACTAGAAATTCAGCTCCCATATGACCCAGCAATACCACTTCTGGGAATATATCCCGGAGATGCCAAAAAAAAAAAAAATACAGTAGAAATGGCATCTGCACTTGCATATTTATTGCAGCACTGTTTACAGTAGCCAGTATGTAGAAAAAACCCGAGTGCCCAAGAACACTACTGGTTAAAGAAACTGGTACATCTACACAATGCAGCTGTTAGTGAAGATGAAATCATGAAATTTGCATGTAAGTAGATGGACATGGAAAGTATCATGCAAAGCGAAATTAGCCAGAAAGAGAGGGGCAGACACAGAATGACTGCACTCATTTGTGGAATATAAAGTAATAAAACAGGAGACTAACACCTAAGGACAGTAGAGACAAGGGTCAGGAGGATCGTTCCATGGCTTCAAAGTTGGTGTCACATGCTGGGGGAAAAGGCAGCTGGGATAGAGAAGGAACCACCAAGTAAATGATGGTTGGAGTGATCGCTTGGGATGGGAGATGCGTGCTGAAAGTAGACTATGGACCAAACATGAAGGCCTCTTAGTACCTGTACTGCAAACCATAACACCCCAAAGGAGAGAGAGTTAAAAAGAATGTGCCTGCCACAGAGGCAGAGGGTGTGTGTGTGTGTGGGGATGGCGGGAGGGATACTGGGAACACTGGTGGTGGAGAATGGACACTGGTGGAGGGATGGGTGCTTGATCATTGTAGGACTGAAACATAATCATGAACATTGGTAAGTCTGTTACTGTATCTCACGGTGATTCAATTAAAAAAAAATGATAAAGTGCCACTCCAAGCCAGAAGGGGATGTAGGGATCCAGTACAGAGATTGAAGGAAATGTACTCTTCACCAAGAACATTCTCTCCTGCTAGATTAGCACTCGGATTTGAAGTTAGGATACGAAGCTTTTCAGGGCCGGGCAGCAGCTTAGGGAATTCACAGCCTTGAAACCAGTTTTACAAGAAGCACTGAAGAAGGTGCTTTAAAGGGTAGGACCGACTTCTCGGCACATGACACAGGGGGGCTGCCCTCTACTAGATTAACGAAGGCACATCTACTCCTAGCTTGCTAAAGGATTTTATACACTTTCTATAAGGAACTAATGTCTCATTTGTATTGAATGCTCTCTGTCTTATTAGTTGTTCTAATTTTTCCTTTCACAGGAAAAAAACACTTTAGTCTATGATACTTTTATAAGCCACTCACATTTCTCCCTTTAAATTTTCTTCATTCTCTTCACTTTTACTAAATTTTATAGTTGTAGGCTTTACCTACTTCATGGAAGCTCTAAAATATATTAGCAAAGAATTAAAAACAAATGACAAGGAAGACAGAATTATTACCATAATGAGAC